TCGGCAGATGCGACGGATGGTACAGACCTTGGTGTATTCGGGTCACAACTGGTCACAGCGACTTTGGTTTCATGAGCTCATCCGCACTGGCGAATAGGTATTCCGCAAGGATGGTGACTCTCTTGGAGGAGCATTCCATGTGACATACGTGGAAAACCTGCCAAGCATCGTACGTTGCGGGCTGGTCCCCGGCGGAATCGATGGCGGAAACAGATTGGCATTGCACTTCGGGGCATTCGCTCCATGGGACAAGATGAACATGGCGACGAAGACAACGCTACGCAACCTGCGGGTTGGGGATCCGATCGCAATCATCTACATTCCCAGTGCAACTCTTGCACGATATGGAGCTGGAGTTGCGTTCAACGGGACGTTTATGGTCTTCGGTCCATTTGGATCGGCAAGAGCAACGAAGGAAAATGCCTGGAGATCGAGGCGCTCAAATGCGAGGGGCTGTACATTTTCTACAAATTGTGGATTGCAGCAAAGATCCTCGACATTACCAGGGAGGAAATGAAGCTCCTGGTCAGCGAACGCAAGCACCCAGTGGGGGACATTGTCTACAGATGCTTCTCCCTGGCGTTCAACTGCAAATACATATCGTTCGCAAGGGCTGGGCTGAACCTTGGTAAGCATGGATACGTGGTCAATGTGAGCGCCATCATCGCGGCCACAGACCCGGGCAAGTGCGACGGACCCCTGCTTGATTGGTGTATCCGAAAGGGACACTGGCTTGCAGACGAGCACCACAGGAAGTACGTCCGAGCACGAGACGCCCAACACAACTTGGACGAAGAATTCCGTCGACGCATCAATAGGATGGCCATTGTGGATCGACCTGTGTGATGCAAGTGTGGATTATCGTTGCTTTTATGGCATGGCGCGGGCCAGACCCCATCCATCGCCAGCAACATATTAATTCCACTGCGATGTAATTTGCGGTATGGTGCGGGCCAGACCCCATCCATCGCCAGCAACACATCGATTTCACTACGATGGAATCCTTTCAATATGATGTGATTTCATTTGTCCAAGGAACATGACTATGTATGTATTTACATATTCCGACGACTATGGCATTCCGGATACTCATGGATGGGCACTATTACCTCATGGATGATTTCTTTTCCTTATATTATTCGTGGTATCTGGAATGGCTATTCTTGCATGTGTATATTGCTCGCCAAATTTCTTTGCCGGTGGTATTCAGAATGCTAATGGCCATGCGCTGCTCTGGATTTCTATGGCCAACCCATTTCTGTGGATGACGGCTGCGCGATGCGCAAATGCGGCAGCTGGGATTTCCAATGGTTGCGTGATGGTATGAGGCAGAATGCCTCTTGCCTCTGTGTGTAGGATTGTGCTACGATTTGCGGATGCACGTTTCTGATTTGATTGAACCCGGCCAAGTTTCACAATGAATGAACGGCGTTGCAGTAGTGATTGAAAGAATGTTCGACACAGTTTCGTGTCGGAGCCGTGGCCATTGGGACTTGTTGTGATGTTTGGACCGCATGATGAACAATGCGACCCAAATGGGGGATGTTAAAAACCCTCCTGGCCCCGTGCCTAAGTTGGGAAGCTGTTCTGAGGTCCATGTTCTTGTTGATTAAAGTGTTCCATTGGACGCCACTTTGGCTCAAGTCACAAGTAGGGCTCAAGGTCTTGCATGAACTACGTTCGCCTGTGATCGATCTGTGAGAGAGAGAAAACAGGTTCAATCGCGCTGCTGATACAGAGTGTACAATCGTGGTTATTGGTCTTTACCCCCTTACAACAGTTTGCACTGGTTTGGCTATAACGGTTTGGCCGTATACCCTTTCTACGTGGTTGAGTATACACAGCTGGAGGGTTCGGTGGACAACGTCCCACGGGACGTCATCTTGCCATCTCTTGACATACGGTATGTCATCCTTAACCTGGAGATGTACGAATCCTTGCTTTGGTGTAACCATGAAAGGTAGCTTACCAGGCATCCAGTGGAAAGCGTATCCCATCTTCATGCATCTTCTCCCTATCGAAAGCACCGTGGGCGTCTCATCCAACACAAATGGCTTGACGGTCTCGTCCAATTCGTCGACGACTATTTCAGCCACGTCGGATGTGGAGGTGGATCCGTTTGCCGTCTGGAACACGATCTCATCCTTGGACCACATCGACGCCCAGATGTCCACATCCAGTGTCCATCAACCATTTCGCCCTTTTGCTGATACACGTTGACACGGCGAACACATTCTTTGGCAGACCATGGTGTCTCTTCCAATCTATGACCGCTTCCTTGATCTCGTCCTCAACCTGATCGTACTCAAACACGATGGTGTTCTCCTTGGTCACCGGGAAGTAGTGTTTTCGATATACGTCGTCCACTACCTCTTCCAGTATCCTTGCTCTTATCAACGATCGTTGCACTTGATAGGCTGATAATTCGCGATGATCGCTGTCCTTGAATTTTTTCTCGTCAATGTGCACGTACTCATGAGGACCATCCTCATTGCCCTCATAGCTATACCACTCCTCCTTGCGTTTCCACTGCCTACTCTCGTCTTCGAGATAGGTGATCTCCCCATTCTCGTCGACGTCGAGGACTTCCTTGAACCATACCATTTTCTCGACGATCTCAGATTCACCGGACCCCCTCGACGACTCACTCATGACATCGTCGTCGTCGCGTTAACGATTCATGAGAGTTTTGTTTTGAAGAAAGCCCACAAAGAAACCCATCTTTCGTGAGATCCCCTTAGCAAATTGCATTTCGTAGCACGTTTCTTAGGCACAATTCACTCAGACATATAGGCTCCTTTTTGGAAGTTGGTTTGAATTAGTGGAGACATGTAATTGTGCCCTTGTCATTCTAGAACTTTGCAAAGGCACTCGCTGGGCTGCCAGTCTGCGGGATGCTGGACGGTGTGAGCAAGCTATCCACATGGCCACTCAAAAAGGAGGTGATGCAACTTGGTGAATTTAAAGTATGCGCTGTGTACACGTGTGCATACATTATTGCCACGCTTGCATGCGGTGACCCTTAAGTTGGTCCTGCACCTATGTGTGCTGCATCATGCGAGGCGACCGGGGCAATCTGCAAAAGCCAAGAACAATAAGAGAAAGAGTAAAAGAAAGGTGAAGAAGAAATGGAACGCACCTCCTGCTGTGGTGTATCGTGAGTGGCCCGTGTACAGCCCTCTCAACATGATGAAGGGCATGACGTCAGCGGGGTGCTTCAGTTTGGTGAGCATTGGTGGCATGATTTAAAGATGTTTTTCCGCAGTGGAATTTGCATGAGTCAATTCACGATTCAGTTTTGTGGCTCCTTACGGACAGGGGACGTTGACTGGCTGGACTTCTGAGAAAAAGCAAAGACAGAGCCATGGGGTGCGTCGCTTGCTTGGACAGTAGCATGATCAATTTGGAACATGTGTGTTTTGACAACTGAGGCAGCACCCTGCGCAGGCCCTGACAGAAAGCCACCGTGCCGAAGCTGCGCCATTTCTTTTCATGGTGATGAAGGCGAAGGGAAGCGAAGGAAAAACCTTATGGTCCTGAGCTGGTCAGGCCTGGTGGCTCTATACATGTTTTGTGCGAATGGATGCATCTTGCCAGGCATGGGTGTTCATGATGTGGCATGGAGGAACAAGTTTCCCTTTGCAGCACCTTGGTCTTGAACATATGTTTAGTGCTATATTTTAATGCTTTGCAATGTAGCGCGCCGCCAAGTAGTGCGCCGCCACAGTGTGTCAATTCACTGTTTCAGGTTGTCCCAGCATGATGATAATGGTCCAAATCAGGAGCGGCAACGCAGCGGCTGGACTGGACAAGGAGCTCAACCTGACGGCGGACCTGGTGTTGCTGGCGGGTGGTTCTATGCGGCGCCGATGGTTGAGCTGTGGTGTTGGCTTGCGGGACCGTGGTGATGTTTAAGCATAAGGACACCATCGCCTTGCTGACGAAGGAGCCGGTGGAGCCGATCGTGCCGCTGAGGACGTTGGTGGAGGCGGGCTTCGTCATCAACTGGACAGCTAAGGGATGTCGTATCGAACATCACCAGCTGGGAAGACTGGATTGCTCGCTGAGATCTGGCTGTCCAGTGATGGAGCGAAAGGCGGCGATGAAGCTCCTGGACTTCCTGGACTCTGCCGGTGCATCGGAGTGGATTACAGACGATGAGGAGTGGTGGAGGTCGAGGTTTCCGGAGTTGCCGAAGGGCGTGATCGCCTACATGACGCGGGTCCTTGACGAGGGCGAGACGAGCAACAGATGCCCTTTTAACCGGCGGCTTCGACGACGCTGGGAGTCTGGCCGGGGCGTGGTGATCTTTTTCTGCAAGACGCCTTCGACGAAGCAAGTCCATCAGAGTGGTCTTGGGCTCATAACCTACGAATCTAAAAGGGGAAAACCAAGTGCACAGCCCTACAGCCGAACACTTTTTCTTGAGCCAAAACAAAATGTCGAGTGCAAATCACATCCGCAGGAACAAATAGGTGCGCTTTGGCATGCAAAGCTCTCCTTCCGGCTGTAAATGTCGATCTTAGATGCAGCAATGGTCAACTCCTCTTCCGCTTTGATTGCCTGACAATCACTCAAACCCTCCATCTTTGTCATCTAAGAACACCTTGTGACATCATCAGAGAGATATGCCTTCTGCAAACAGCTCGCAAGACAACATGAGCGAAATTCGGCTTGAGGGCAGCACTTTCTTCAAATATGCCTGACAACATTGAAGCTAAGACACGCAGCATCCTCAATCTTCAAGTCCACACAAGAAGCGATCAAAATGCATTCAACAAATACATGTCAGGAGTGCTATGTTTTGCGGCACTGGGTCGATTGGAAAAGCATCGCCAGCGGGCTGGAAGCCGCCACTGCCCTGCAAGGTCAGGGAGTCAGGGCACGGCAGAAAAAAATACAACATCTCCATGAATTCGATTTTGAAGGTGGGCGACAATTTAAGTGTTCTTCCGAGAAAAAACTCCTGGCCGTCCTCGCAAGGCACAAGCACTGCAATCCGGTTCAGTCGACCCTTTGACAGCTTTTTCTCGAGCATGAACGCAAGGCAGGCAAGACTGCATTTGGCCGGTAAGGCTCGGGCAATGCTTCTCAGCTGACACACCCACACCGCAGCGGATGGTTGCGAGGTGGCACTGCCTTGCAGGCGGCATTCTGGGCAAGGTGATAAGTGCGCCCGTTGGCTTTCATTTAACATGTTACTGGTCGAGCCTCGGAAAGATCTGCGATACATCCAACTAGAAAGCAACAGGCATTCACACTGAATCCATTGCCAGGGAACAAGCAATGACAAAAAATGAGCATGTGAAGGAGCAACTTTCTGGCGTTAGACACCACCAAAAAAACTGACCTCGCTTTGCTTGCATCTACTCAAGGGCATGTCTGCTCACCAACGCCAGGAGTCATGGACCAACATGCAAACCCAATGCAACACCCCCAACTGCAAGACCAAACACTTGTGTTTGGCAGCAGCGAAGTTGAACATGGGCATGAAGGCTTAGGTTGCCATGGGGCAGCGCCTTGCAGGTGCGCAATGTCATTCTTACAACCAGCAATCCTAGAAAAAAATGAAACCCAGCAAAATGAGGAAAGCGTGTTTGCAGAGCACGACACTCGAATCAAACTGATAAAGCCGAACGCTGCCCAGCGTGCAATGAAACGTCTTTCAAAGATTGAACAGCCAACTGCCAGATGGGGCTGAAAGTTCGTCTGCTCCAAACGAGAACACGATTTTTAAAGCCAATGTTGCTCGGTTGTGAGGAAAAACCGCGGAGGATTTTGGTTGACTAAAAACGCATCCGAGTTTCCTGCGCCCATACTGTCGACCCGCTCCAGCTCTTTGGCAATCTTCCACCTCATCAAAGTCCCTGATGGTACGAGTGCGTACTCATGCTTGCCATCCCAAATGCCTTTTGGGACGATCGAAGGCAATTGCCCTCCTCGGAATGATGCCACCCACATTCTTCCCTGCAATAAGCTTTGCAGCACCGTCCATCTCCACGTCATAGACGGGTGACCAGCCCTGCTTCACCAGGTTCCGCAAATGTTTCTTTGCATCAGGGTCAGCCGCGCAGCTGGGCAAGCCAGGACAATCTATCAAGGCAAAAGGGTCAAAGTCTTCCTCAAGTTCGTGCAAATTCTTCACACCTCGGCAGCAAAGGTCAATGTTACCGCCACAATAGGCGAAGAATTGCTCTGCAAGGTCTTCGCTCATGTTCCACCTCTTCACCATCAGGTTCAACATCTCCCCCTTCGGCACTTCGTTGGCTATGACAATCTTCTGTACATCCTGCAAATTCATGCCACAAGCTTGAAGCCGATAGGGATAAGCCAGCTCTGAACTAATGAGCACCACACTTGCCAACTGTTCCTGCTTGGTAAGCATGACTAAGAACTGGAGCGCTCGGGTTGCTTCTGCACGGTCACTGTCAAGCAGCCCAGGCAGTGCCAGGTTTGCTTCATCGACCATGAGGCATGTTCTGTTTCCTTGCTTTTCCATGAGGGTAGAAATAATGCCCCTCAGAGTGACTTTGGGCGACAAGAGCTGTTCTACCAAATCCGACGTTTTGGTTGTCTGCCGGCGGGAAAGAAATTGAATGAAATCCGACGCCAGCTTCGGCGCAAATTTCTCAAGGAGCTTTCGAAAGCTAGGCGTCTTCTTGTCAATGCGATCGAAAATTGCACTGAAAAGTGGCTTGTTGGGGTCTTCCCGCATGTCAATGTCAATGATGGTCAAATTTGCCTGTACCTCATTCTCTGCGGCGCAAGTGGCTCCTTTGAGCACCAAGGTCTTGCCTAAGTTCTTCCCACCAAGTACCAGAGTAAAAGTTTGGGAAAACATTGCATCTTTGATCGCCGCCACAAACGCGTCTCTGTCCACCACTTCTTTGCTCTTGGTGAATTTATCTGCCGCTTCTCCCACATTGCAGATGTACTGCTCAACTTCCAGGCCAGCTTCTTTCGCAGCCTCACACGCCAACCTGTAGAACTGATATGGAGGACTTATTGTTGGTCTTCCTTGGACTTCTTCGCCAGTGCAGCGCAATCTGATGCTGGAATATTTGCCTTCATGTCCCGCACAAATCAAATTAAATTGAAAAGCGAGGAAAACATACTCATTTCAGTCAAAAAGTAGCCTACAGACACACTCTTACAAACCCTTTGTCAAAGGCACTGTGCTTCAGCGATTGGATGAAGCATGCACCAGAGGCCAGGTAGACTGCAAGGATTGGAAGGGCGAGGAGCCATGGCTTTCTGTGTAAACGTGTCATAGTCGTTGAAACGCAAATGTAGGAACAGTACAGTTTGTTCTTGAGAGGAACGCATATTGGTTGCCTTTTCAAACTAGCTGTACCTCAGCCGTGCGTGTCTTGGATTGCAGTCAGACTGGATCCGTGAAGTGACGCATGACACTAGTAAGTTAGCTTGCCAAAGCCGAGATTGGCTACAGAGATGCACCCATCAACTTGGCCAACAATCCAAAGTGCTCATCGGCACAGCTACTACTCTGCTGTCTTGACAATTCCGCAGGCATTATATCGTCGAGGCACGGCAGGACAAAGACTGCTCTGACAAAAAGAGAGGGCATGCCCCTTGCATCCGAGTACTTCCCGACAACAAAGCGGCAACTACAGAACATACCGAGCAACTTTGCCTCAGAAAACATACTGCTACAATTTCCCATGGAAACCAAACCAGTGCTTCCAGCGCATTAGCATCACGCGTTCCACCGCAAAAAACAACATTTTCCGTGCAAAAAACAACCACACAGGATACCCAAGGGTTAGAATCTTGGTCACTGCTTCAAGCCTACAGGGACATGCAAGGAAAAAAACATCCGACCGAAGCAAACTCGACACGCGCTTTTTTACTTGAGCGTTGCTTAGAAGTGCAGGCTCTGAGATGCAGGTGGAGTGACGATGCGCGTCCACTCCATCTTCCTGCATCTCATGCGGAGCCTGTCGGAATGCCCCCTGTGGTCAACATTGCGTGTTCGACCATCACACAGGGTGTTTTACCCATGGGGTGTGAGACAAATAGGAGGTATTTTGCACATCGGTATGCAATGCGTGCGTAGGTGTGCACGGGAGGAATGCGTCCTCCTGCAGGGGACCAGGCTGGTCCGACAGAATGCTGATGGCATTCAGCGATGTGCGACTGCGTGCACAGCATGGGTTCAAACTGGTGTGGCCAACGAGGAATGCGTCCTCACTGCATAGGCTTAAACTGGTCCTGCGGGATCAGTAAGCCGACAACATGCTTGATGCTGGAAAGCTTGCCGACAATGCGTGTTCAGCAATCAGCTATCAGGCCTCTTTGCACAGGCTACACGGGTCCTGCGGGACGCAGTAAGCCAACAAAATGTTGCAAGAGGGAAAGCTTGCAACCATGCGTGTTCAGCAACCCAGCAATCAGGCCTTGTGGAAGTTGGTTTCCACCTGGGCCGTGAAAGGGTGGGAGGGTGGGTTCAAAAAGAACGAAAGAGGGGTCAGACCCTCAAGGCATGTCCCTTACTAAAGGGCTTGAAGCAGAAACAGCCACGCGGCCGAAGATTCAACCAAGATTAAAACACAGGGGAAAAGACAAACCCCTAGCGTTAGAATCTTGGTCACTGCTTCAAGCCTACAAGGACATGCAAGGAAAAAAGCATCCGACCGAAGCAAACTCGACACTCGCTTTTTTACTTGAGCGTTGCTTAGAAGTGCAGGCTCTGAGATGCAGGTGGAGTGACGATGCGCGTCCACTCCATCTTCCTGCATCTCATGCGGAGCCTGTCGGAATGCCCCCACTTTAGGGTTCTAAGCAAACGGTCAAATCACCTCACCCCCTCTTTAGTGCGTTTGCGATGCAGCCACGTGCTCGGGTCTCCACGGTGCGTCCGCAGAATAAAGCGTGAGAGCTGATGCGTGAGGCCAGAAATCATGCGGCCTGAAGCGCACTCTGGCATGTGGCCGACTCTGGAAAGCGGAGGTATTACCTCTGCTGAGTTGGTCCGCCCAGATGTTGTGCTCTCCTGGGATGTGTGACGCGATCACGGACCATGTGTGTTTATGGGCCCAGGCGGCTACAAGTTGCACAAAGACTTGCAAGGGCCATGCTGTGGTGAACAGTTTATTAACGCCTGCCTCGGAGGCCGTGTTATCTGTCCCTGGGGGCATGCAAATGCCATGCACGCTTTGTCCTTCGCAGGACCATGCGATACGCATGAGTGCTAGTTGAGCCAAGGTTTCGAAGCATGCGATGTAGCGCTGGGCTTCTTTGGTGAGGCGCGGCCACTGCTCTTGGACTTCCTGGAATTGCCAAGTTTCTGCGAACCAAGAAACGGAGCTGCTGGTGATGAACCAACCCCCTATGCCCACGACACTGCCCTCGACGCAGGCATCTGCGGCTGCTTTGCATGCCAGCATTGGCTTGCTTCTCAGCGGGCATGCGAGGTCTAAGTGGAAGCATTGCAGCAACCATTCTACGCCATGTTTGCTCATCTTGGACAGGCGAGTGTGCTCTGCGGATGCGTCCGCGACGCGCACCCAGGCGGATTTGTGACTAGGCACAACGCGAGGCAGGTCAGCTGGCGTGCGACTGCCTGCCCCTTGGAACTCGAGAACTTTAGAGCCTGGTGGCATGAAGATGCCGTGCACTGCTGACCTGAGCACGGCTTTGGTGTCCAATGCTGAAAGGAAGGATGGCCACAAACGCGCATGGACAGAGATCATGCAACCCGGCGGTGAACGCAAGTCTGTATACAAAGGTGCCAGCCAGGATCTGAGTTCGGGGCTCAGACTGGTTGCCCAAATGAGGAGGCCTAGAACCTGCTCCAAAAGTTTTCGCTTGACCTTCCCCGCTTTGAGCAGCTCGTGCAGCTGCCCTTTTAATTTTACGGTTTTTTCTGGCGTGAGTTCGATGGTCTCATGCAGGAAATTAATGCGCCACCCACACCACGTGAGGCCATTTTGAAACTGAACCTTCTTCCACAAGATCGGGGCAGAAATTGCTGCAAAGAACATGACCATAAGGGCCAGCTGTGCGTGCGCGTCACTGCGATGCAGTGCTGCCAAAAGGTCATCCACAAACAACCATGCACGATGTGGGCGCAGTTCCAAAATGCCGTGCAGTAGCCTCAGGAGGAATGCTCCGGTGCGCTGCCACCAGTATGCGGAGAAGCGTGCTCCGAAGTGGCAAACCCTATAATGGTACAGGATATCGGCAACACGGAACAGAAGCAGGCCATGTTCACTGGGGTGCACTTGGATCTGCTTATGCGCCGCTTTAAAATCAAAGCTTGCCCCCACAAAGGACAAGTGCGTGTCCTCGGGGAGGAATGCTAAGCGCACGTCCGAGGCCATTGGCAGGCTTATGCGTTCTGGAATGGCGCACTTGGGGTTCGCCCCACACACTGTGCTGTCTAAGACTAGTCGTGGGTCCTTGCCTTCTGCATGCACGACCATCCGTTTGCAATTTCCTTTTCTAGCAAGGCTGATACCGTCTCTGGTTCCGCTTCTGCGGCTTTCCAGTTGCCGATGCACTCGGTGAGCTCACTAGGCAGGTGTGCCTGAGGCTTAGGCGGCCACTGCATGCTACGTGGCAGTTCTGACACAGCTCCTGTTGGCACGCCTTCTGCCAGCAGCGGCACTAGTTTGAGGTCTGGGTCATTGGATGCCGTTGCTAGGGCATGCAAGAGTGACAGGCGGTACGGTTGTCCTTCAGCGGGTGCTAAGTCGGATGGGCACGGCACGTTCATGGCGCGGAACGCGATCCGTGCTGCCTCCTCGGACTGTTGTTCCGAGAGAGGGGGGGATGCGTTACCGGAGCCCACATGGGCTAGAATTTTTGGGATGAGTTTTTGTGCGTCTAGCCAATGCAGCCAGGCACGTGCTACTATCGTGAGCGGGTGGTTTGGTTGAGGGATTGAGTGGTCTGCAGTCGAATGCATGCCAGCTCCATCGCATACCCGCAAGCGCACGGGGTGCAGTGAAAGCAGGGAGGGTTTGCGTAGGTTGCGGACCTCGGGTTGCGTGCTCACTTTGAATGCGCAATGTTTGATCAAGCACGCTGCGAGACTTGCCGGGTATTCGGCTGTCAGCGTGCTCAGGTACTGGCCTGAGCTGCTTTGAACGCCCGCTATGCTGGCGTGTTTATGTTGATGCGGGCATCTGCTTGCCACGTGCTGGATGCATGCATCATTGCTGGCGAAGCACCATGATTTTGAGAGCATCATGCCATGTTGGCACGCATCCACCCATGCGAGGTGTCCGTGAAAGTTTTTTAAACACTGGAAGTTTTCCGGCTCCAACCAAGCCATGCTGGACGGCGGCTGCTCGAAGATTGCCACGCCACTTTGGGAGGCGACTGCTTTGAACAGCTCTCGCCCTCTTCTGTGGATTTCGCGGCTGTCGCGAACCCGAGAGAGTTCTGCTGGTGACAAGTTTGGTATGCCCAGCATGCATGAAGGCGCGCGTAACGCCTTTGGGCCGCCTGGTCTAAGCTTGAGCCGGGAGTATTCCTTGCACGGCGGTGCCAAGGTTAGCAAGCTAACGCTGCCAGACCAGCATATGCGCAAAAGCAACTCGAACCATGCGTCATCCAGAATGTTGTGCTGAGGATTGGCATCCAAGTCAAAAGCTTCGAAGCGCGCAAGGCCTTGTTGGTCTTAGATCGGTGCATGGACCAGCGCGAAGACGTCCAGCAGGAGTCCTCCCCGGGGCTTATGCAATGTGCCAGCGTCTGAAGGCGCTTGTTGGCATGCGGGAGGGAAAACAGTGAATGCGGCCGGCGTTTTTGTGGCACCGTCCGGGGAAGCTGCCGAGGCTTCCTTCGGACTGTTTCATGTGTGGTTCGATGCGTGCTGGGATGCTGGATGCGTCTGCTGGCAGCCTTTTATTGCGCACACATGTGCAAACTGGCAGTTGTCTGATTTGCAGGTCCCTGTCTGGAACCTGCGACAAATGGGCTTCCCATTATGTGATGCGGCCCAGGCGTTCTTGGATTTGCCTTTTCCCTTTCCCTTGCCTTTCTTGCGTGGCGGCTCGGATTTCTGCGGCCGGCTGGCGGGCCGTTTGGGCTGCCTGGGCTCGAAGACCGGACGCTGACCTCCCCTGGATTGCGGGCGAGTGGGTCGCCAGCCTCGGATGAGTTCGGCTGCGATTTGTGCTTGCACCCAGAGGCTCTCGATTGTGTCGTCGCGGCTGTACAGTTGCACCGAGTTAATGCGATGATGCCCTTGCTGGCGTCTTGACTCTTCTGGCAGGCGGAGTTGGGCGGATGCGCTCAAGAGTGCCACTTTTAGGCTGT